GTGTATTGTGACTGCTGAGCATATTGCGGTATCTGTATGTTGTTATTGTGACTGCTGGGCATATTGCGGTATCTGTATGTTGTTTATTGTGACTGCTGGGCATATTTCTTTTCGGAGGGTAAATGATATGTGTGCAGAGCCAAATAAATGCAATAGATTACCATTCATAACATTTTCAAAATCGCCCGATTCATTAACGCATCTGTACTTTTACATTACTAGTCTGTCTAGTTTGGAATAATGATAAATTAGTGATTTTTAGTTAATTATTCTTACGAAATATTTCTAAATCTGAATTTCTATACTGACTGACTTGGCTGCGCTTTATGAAGTGTGTACAGTGCCACCTAGGAGCTGATGATAGACTCGCTGAACAGTATTGAATTCATCCTCGTTGTGTCTGTTTTTCGAAAATTCAAAGCGAGGTTCCTAGCTTTTGATTGGTACCTTCATTCTGTAAGTAAATCAGGTCAAACTATGACGCAATCAGGCAATTCTTTAGTTTGTCCCCTAAAATAACTGAGACATACTGGCTTTATCGTGAAGAACCGAGAGATTCCAAACCCATTTACATGGGCTGTAGGAGGGTGAGAATGGTGTCACCGAAGCCAAACTTAAAGGATGGTGATATATTGGGTTTTTGGACTTTATTCATCGTCCTGGTTTTTAAGATAACAAATAAAAACACGACGTTTCGGAAACTGGATCTGTTTCCGTCCTCAGGTGAAGGAAAACACCTATTCTGTTGGGTCCGTTAGAAAGAGCTAGCCTCCTTCACCTGAGGACGGAAACAGATCCAGTTTCCGAAACGTCGTGTTTTTATTTGTTATCTTAAAAACCAGGACGATGGATAAAGTCCAAAAACCCAGTATATCAGTGTGTTATACACCATCGTCAGAATCCTATAGTAACTACTTAAAGGATGGTATCATGTTTTAGTCTTCGCTTTTGTGGTGCATCAATTCAGAAAATAGAAGCAAAAAGACAAAACCTGTTATGAAAGTTGTTCGTAGTATTAAATCATAACACTTTATAACGAAGGTTTTCTTTCATGAATATCTACCGCCACATTTCTCACTGCAGACAAGTGTTTACTCCTTCGATTTTCTAAAAAAAGAAATGAAAATGTACTCTTCCTGAAGAATGTGCCTATGTCTGGATTCGGACCAAATATATATATACTCGTTGGAGGGTTACAGTGCTTTTATAATTAAAATATTACACAAAAATTATTAATTATGGTCTAATTTTTTTGCTATCTTCAGACTCGAATCGATCTGCTGCGCTGTCAGTATGAAAGAAAAGGCACCAACGGCGTTGCTTTTATCGGCCGCTGTTTCAGCCGATCCAGCTCGTACGCCGTAGTAGCTTCTGGATTGATGGCAGCTGATGGCAAAGCCTACATCTTCCCAGACGTAACTAACTAGCCTGGACACAACGCTGCCTGAGGGCACCTGGCAACTACTTTCTGTAGTTGTTTGGATGCTGTGCCTCGCAGTTGCTGCTCTCCTAGACACCTAGAGGACACTCGGCGTCGATGGCCATCCCCCACCCAGACATCAAGGAGGCCTGCTTGAAGCGGATCCAGATGAGACCATAAGATTCACAGCTGTCATACTACGTTAGACAAATAACCATATTACAGGAGCCCGTGAGGATGGAGGCTGACTGCGACATCTGACAGTGTGTCAGATCCACTAAGGGCAGCGGAAATGAAACTAAATCATCGTGCATGTTATTCTTAATATATATTGAAGGCACCGTCAAATCTCATGCTCGTGCGGACCAATTACTAGCCTCGTTGGGACAGTATTATGTTCGCAGCAGGCACTGTCTATTCATATCTCCCTTCTTTATTTTAACGAATTAAGCAACTTAATTCCTCTAATGGTCACAAACTTGTAAAATATATTTCATCCCTTTCAGTGCTACGAGTACATACGAGGTATCTTGCTTATGCGTTCATACTTTTCTGTCTCAATTTATTTTCCATTTAAGAATATGACCACTGCTAGGCAATGGCTCGGTAAGTACAGTTCCGAAACTATGTTCTCAACAACAGAAGGATATTCGTTGCTGGATACCGGAGCAATAAAGACGCGGCTACAATACGCAACAAGAATGAAAGGTGTTTCCTACGTGGTCCGAGCCGAGATGTTTCCTTGGCAACTGCTTGGTACCACGCCTTTACAACAATAGTGGATCCGTGTTTTCTGTGCTGCGTGGTCCGTCCCACGACTATATAAAGGAGAGAATTTGAAGGAAGAAAGAGTACCTCGTGTGGAGGCGGCGTCGAATACCTCCACCGTGACCCTGAGAATCGTAAGAGGTGACAAAAAAGGAAGTCTCAAATCTCAGACAGTAAAATATGGTCGCGAATCACAAGGGACTCGGACCCGAGAAAGATTGCACTGGCAAGTGTAAGCAGCATATACAAAAAAAAAAAACAGAGACCCGTGTTCTCGACAGAGAGGCCGCTCCACAAAAAACAAGACCGTAACTGTCAAACAGTAACAAATATTTGGTCATGGGCCCAAGATGGGGCTTTTTTATTTTTTTATTGCTAGTGGGGTGGGAGTAAGTCCCTTGTACTGCCGCCATTTCTGGCCTATTGTACCAGCCCCAGATGATAGGTGAGGGTGATTGTGGAGCAATTGGTGAAATAAAGATTGGTACGGAAAACCGAAGTACTCGGAGAATACCTGCCCCAGCGCTACTTTGTCCACCACAAATCCCACTTGACCACACCCGGGATCGAACCCGGGCCGCCGCGGTGGAAAGCCAGCGACTAACCGCTTGAGCTATGGCGCGGCCAAGATGGGGCTTACTGACTTACTGACTGCCTGACCGTCAGTCGCAATGTGACTTTGACTTGAAAGAAGCAGAACCAAGAAAATGGGAATACAACGGAGTAGGAGAATGAGAACTGAGTTCAGTTGCCGGCAGGAGATAGCCACGGGAAGTTAGAAGCTGAAGAAGAACTAGAAGTCATCATGTGAAAATTCAGTGTGTGATTAGAAGATTTAGTCAGAGTGACACTACTTTAATTCCGTTACCAGGATACGACTAGTGAAAATTGAGAATCCTAGTGCGTGTGTAACGGAGAATTGTTAATTGTGTAAATCAGCGATAGCGCTGTATTGCTTGTAAGTGCGAGTTGATTGTATAAGGTGTTAATAAACTCAATTATCCAATCCAAAACCCGTCTATTGTCACGTGTATTAGTGACTAATAACGCTGGTTCTGGATTGGATGAGTGGATTTATTAACCTCTTACACAATCTCTCTCAATTATAAACAATAACACGTACAGCGCTATCGCTGATTTACACACGTTACAGTTCACCATTATACACCCACTAGGATTCTCGGTTTTCACTAGTCGTATCCTGGTAACGGAATTAAAGTAGTCTCACTGTGACGAAATCTTCTAATCACATACTGAGTCTTCACATGATGACTTATAATTCTTCAATTCTCTCAATTCTCGCCGCTCCTAGTTCCAATTTTCTCTCGCTCTAGTCGATCTATTTCTACAGCTCACAGCTCTCGCCGTATAGCCGTGGCACAGACCACATAGAAAACCTCTTATATTCTTGTAGAGACGTGTTACAACGCAGTTTCCTAGCAATCAGTCTCGACGTGTATTATGTATTAGAACAATAGACTACCAAGTGTTGCATGTCTGAACGTGTTTACGGAGTGGTTGCCTAGCAATAATCACATTCACTTCTGCAGTTCCGGTTTTGGGGCAACGTTTGCCTAGCCATTGCCTAGAAACGGCCCGTATGTGACAATATTTATTACAGAAAAAAGTTTCCAGCCTTCTGTCAAGAAAATAATGCTATGTACTTGTGGCTTTACAATAATAATTTTGTTGAAATAAACTGTTAAAATAGGTAACGCCTTCCCTGTAACAGGCCGTGAAGGCGCATAGTGTTGTGAGACGTCGAGACTCCCACATTTTCTACAAAACTGGCTAACATATGGCGGTGAGATTGTCAGTTTTACGCGACGAACACCTTTAACCCCCAAGAAGATTCCTGGCACTAGTTTCTGTTAGAGGCTGAGTCGATTCCAGGGCCATAGTGCGACTAGAAAGATTAGGTGAGTTGAAAAATCCAACGACCTCATCGGGAATCAAATCCGCGACCTTCCGACTTGTAGCATAGTGCCTCATCCGACTATGCCATATCGTAAATTATATCAGTTACTTTAAACAAAAATCATTTCGTAGAAAAGTAAAATGTCAGCCCCATTAGTAAAGTGGGACGGTCTAAGTGAACACGAGCACTCACTGCGTGCAGTTCCTCTCAGCCGAGACATATGCATACAGAAACACGCGAGACGGATAAACTTACGGCTCTGGGAGGGATGAAGCGGTAATTGATGGGGGCTGTCGCCGAGTTACAGGTGGCTCATCTTAGTTCAATGAGCAAAGCAGTGGTTTGGGTCCTCTAGTAGCTCAGCACAACAACTTCAGATCACTCTAAGGGTGACGGAGAAGGATAAAAAAATTAGTAAGAAGAAGAAGAGGACGAGAGAAGCAAAAAGAAAAAAAGACGAGCATAATGGAGAAGAGGTGAAGAAGAAAATTAGGACAGGGGAAAATAACACAAATGAACAAGTTTAAAAGAAAAGGAGAGTATTAAGAAAAAATGATGAGTAACAGGGGATGAGAGATGAATACGATAAGCGAAGATAAGGGTAAAGTAAGTTAATGGGGGAAATAATAGTAATATGAGGAAAACTAAGTATGAAACTAGAAAGTGAGGAAATAATAATGAGAAAAGGGACAAGATGAAAATGATGATATTGTGCAGGAGGAAATGGTAAGAGGTAAGGAATGAAGAAAATGAGTTTCGGGAGGCACAGAATAACGAAAGTGGAAATACGTAATGAGAAAATTCAAATTTAACTAAAAGACTTTCCGTAGGAAAGATTATGTCTTATGGCACGTACTGTCAGTACGTCATACCCTACAGCATGCTTTACTTATTTCGAGAAAAACAGTAAAAATCACATCCCCATTATCCTTTAAAAGTAAATGACTTCTTAGTTATTTACCATGACACTAGAGGGGGCACGCGGTAGCGTAGTTGGTTGAGGCACTATGCTACAAGCCGGAAGGTCGCGGGTTCAAGTCCCGATGAGGTCACTGGATTTTTTTCAATTGACCTAATCCTTCCAGTTGCACTATGTCCCAGGGGTCGATTCAGCCTCTAACAGAAATGAGTACTAGGAACCTTCCTGGGGGTAAAGGGCAGCCGGCGCGTAGGGCTGACAACCTTACCGCCATCTGTGAGCCGATTGTCTAGGAAATGTGGGAACCTCAATATCTCCAAACCCTATGGGTTTT